CTGATTTTTGCGGGCAACGAGGGAATCTCCCACTCATGTTTGCCTATAATTAGAAATAAAAGAACGTAAAAACGCGAAGAAGTCAAGTGGAGCCAAAACTTGCGCTGTAAGTGAGGAGAAGGTCACGGCTGAGGGCGGGCATGCGGCGCCTCGGAGGAGACTGGGAGTTCAGAGACAATGAAAATAAACCCAATAGATCTTATCGCCCGTGCATTGTCTTGTCTTCCATTGTGATAGGGCGAAATCACGTCAGGGATAAACACTGTATGAATTTTTAAGCGGCGCCCCCTTCTTATTCCTATTCCGTCTTATTTTGCCTCCGCTCCAAATGACCTCCAGTAATCTTCCGAGGAGAATATCGCCATTTCTCCGAATATGAAAAGAGATTGTGAGCGCCACCAGGGGAGTTGGAGCACAGGTGTTGAATACTACAGTATGTGTATTTCATTAGTGTTTGGCAGTTTGAATGATGCGGTTGGAAATATTAAAAGCAGCAGAGGTGTGTGCGCATCGATCTGAATAGTAAAGCTGCGAACAGAGAGGGAGAGAAAGGAAGACGTTCGTAACACGTCCAGCAGATTGTGAAACTGATCAATGAATATTTAAAGGCGGAGGATCGCGTCCTGTGAAGGATTTTCAGCTGAAATCAGCTTTTTCTCCATAGGAACGAGTGAAAACAGCATTAGTATGAGGCACAAATACAGGAAGTGTTTCATGTTTATAGAGTGTATGTATAATAAATCAAATACATGCAGGAAAAAAGGCTGTTCTTACATGTAATTTGTCACATATTCATCGTGCGAGGAGACGTCCGCGAGGCATCAGAGGAGCGCATGAACCGAAACATAAATATGGTTTTGAATGCGTTTAGACGTGTGGCTCACACTGATCAATTTCACTGCATGAGAGGATGGCTCACATTTTTTTCTAATTTGGGTAATTTTAGGCTATTGTTCAGTCTGTTTCAGATTTGTATTTCTATTTTGAGATGCACAATATTGGCACAAAAAAAATCTCCAGCAGGATGTGAATCAGACTATAATGAGTATTTTTGTCTTTTTCATGATTTAAAAAAGGAAACGAGATCATCAGCACTAGCAATGATTCTCTCTTTCTCGTGGTAATTGGTCCCTGACACCGCTGAAGTGGTGGGTGTCACAGGAAGTGGTCCATCGCAGACCTTTTTTTTCTCTGTATGGCGAAGGCTCTAAAAGATACACATTTTACTGTAACAGTATACCTATAATGAAAGCTCTAACTCGAGTCAAAATGAGCATTTCCAGTATCCACAACTGTCTTCTCACTTAAATGGAAATGATATCAGTATGATAGCGGTGTCGGTATGATAGTTGTGTTAGTATGTTGTAATACTTGTATCAGTATATTAATATTGGCATGATAGGGTATTGGTGTAATATTGATAAGGGTTGTCCCAATTCAACTTTTTCACTTCTGATACGATACCGATATTGTATCCTTCACTGTTGACCAATCCCAGTATTGATCCTATATTAGCACAAACTTGTGCATGACAAGTTTCGCACTCAGTTGCAACGTCTTTTTCGGACTTTGACGAAAGATACTGCCTTAAGGCCGACATCACTGCTACTCCTTGCTTCGTTGTTAGTACCTTAGTACACACTGTTGTTGTGATCACATGAGCTCTGTGTGCTCAATCTCAGCGCTGCTAGCTAGAGGTGCTGGAGCAAAATCTGGAATGGACTGCTTAAATTGGAGTGCTGATATCGGAGATTTTAGATGCAGGCCGATATAATCCAATATTTGATTTTTGCTGATATCGGACCGATATCCGATATTAGGGATGGGAATCGAGAACTGATCCTTGTTGAGAGACGATTCTAAATGGCTCAATCCATCAACATCATTGACATTTTATCTTAACGAGTCCTTTCTTCTGGGTGCTTTGAAAAACGTTCTCGCGAGTGCCAGTCTACGCAAACGGGAACAGAGACAGAGAAAAAAAACATGGCGGACGGTATGAAAAGTAGACTGAGTTAGAAGCATAAAAAACACTTGACTCGACCAGAAAAACCCTCAAAATTCTGCCCTGCGTGGTAGTGTCCTCTTGTTGGCGGTTCAGACATTGATAAGGTAATCGTTAAACAATTGAATTGATAAGCAGAATCGATAATGGCATTGATATCGATAAAATCTTAACAATTCCGATCCCTATCCGATATCAATATCGGATCGGGACATCCCTGATACTGATATCAGTATGATGGTGGTGTTGATGTGATAGAGATATCGGTATGATAGTGGTATAATTGGTGTAATACTGATATGATATGATAACAGTGTAGGTATGATAGTGGTAAGATAACAGTTAAAAAGTTGTTAATCAGCATCCTCAGACATGAACATTTCTGCAGATATTGATATCGACCAAAGAGGTAATGCATTTATTCTGTGAACTCAATGGCAGCTTACATATTTCAGTACCTCAGGAGTGTTTTAAAGTGTCGGAATCAGACAGCAGGTAAATTACTTTACGTCTACATTGTAAAAAACATATTTAGAATCCGGTACCTCAGCCGCTCTCTACAGCCATTGCTCTTACCCTGCCGATACCACAACACAGATAAATGGCCTTTAATAGGCTGACCTGGGTCACTTCAAATGGAAATCTATCCAAACATGAAAGTAGCTTAATGCGTCTGTCAGAGCAAATGATATGTGCGATAGCAAATTGGTCCAATTCTTCGGCTCTTGATTGGTGAATTCAAACTGTGCTGGAAAAACCTCGAAATTATGACTCTTTACTGCTCTTGCATGCATTTGTGTCAGGCAGTGCTTTCCTGGTTGTCATCAGCATCCATCACTGAGTGCTCTCCCAGCATTTACATGACATAATTACAGCCAGCACTGGTACCATTGCGATCAATCACGTCTCTGAACAGACAATTTATGGCTTCATGTTGGAACTACAATCAATCACTCTAAAGATGAGCAGTGGTGGAAATGTTTGCAGCTTGGCTTTAGGTCCGCAACCTGGTCTGAGCTTGATGAGAACAAACTGGGTTGACAGTTTTGATTTATTAAGCTGTGCTTTGCTGTTTTGTTGTTTTGATGGTTTTGAGGTGTACTTTATCAGTGGAGGACAGGTTAAGACTTGTTTGCTCGTGTGTGGTGGGTGACGGTTAGTGTTCGAGTGGAGACTATACTCACATTTTAGACGGCATGACTTAATTAAAGAAAAAAGGGAATACTATTATGTTGTGTAATAATGTAACACACATCATGCATTTGGTCCTCTTATGCAGCTTTGTAGTCACATCATTATAACTCGGTTTGGTCCTTCTCAGTGAGGTTATGTGACCCTGTCTATAGCAATACTTATTGATACTCTTATCCATACTAGTCTACATAATATGATGCAAAAAATACAGTCTTGTAAAAATGTTTTCAAAATGAACACATTTTTAATATTTTAGATGATCTAGTCACAAAATGCTGTTCTCTGTTTCTCAGCAAGTTTCCATCTGTTATGTTTATTTCTGTGCCTTTACTTTTCCTCACATTCACCCTGACATAAATGTTTGCCTAAACTACCTGTCATGATAAATAACACCATATCAAAACTAAAAGTGTTTCAGACCGGTGTGAAATTCTGTTACACAAGGATCGACCCTTCTTGCTATATGAAGTTTAATACCACTTTTGACATGAATAGCAGTCATGTTCTGAAATATATAGCACAATCTAGTGTTTAATTACTCCATTTTTTTCTTAACCCTTTAATGCCTGACACCACAAGTTATTTCACTTATACTGAAAACCAAAGAAATCTAAATGTCCTAAGAATTTAACAAATATATTTATTTATCTCGTTTGATACATCAGACGTTTTTGGAAACTCATGAACTACAAAAAGGACATTTTTATCATTTATCGGACTATATTCAGGTGTTTTTTTCAGTAATTTGTTGATTATATTGATTTGATAGAAGTATATAAAAGTATGTATCAAATATGATGCAAAAGGCATTAAGGGTTAAAAATTCAAAAATTTATCTAAAATGCGTAGATAGCTTAGCTAGCCATGTACATAAGGCTGAAATGTGCATAGAGTAGTAAAAATATACATTACTTTTTGTTTGTTTTTAGCCCAAATATTTACCTTGCATTTAATCTAGTCTAATAGTTACATGTAGCTGCACAGAAATCCAAAAGTTTGTCAGTGTTTACAACAAAAAGACAGATAATTAATTTGTTCAGTTTATTCAAATTGATGAGATTCATTATTCTGATTTTTTGTTTTTTATTAAATTATTGTAATTTATCAAATAAATATAAATGAATAATAAATTATGATATTGGCTTTGTATATATCAGTTATCTAATTATCGACATATATCTGATATCGCTCGACCAGTAGCCAATAAAGTAAACCCATGTTCCTCTGTTCTTGTTGAAATTATGTGAACAAATTTAGTATAATACAAGTCATGTTTTTAAACTGCTACAGAAAAAAGCAGACTTCAATTTGATAAAATTAAACTACAAGAAATGCAGTTTTTACCTTAACAGGTTTCCTAATAAGAGTCAATGTGAAAAGTCAGTGAGTGAAAGAAACAGCCTTTCCACCATGTGTCAATTCTCCCCTTCGTCATCGCTGGTGAAAAACAACAAACAGATCAATGAGTAAGTGTATGAGCCAAAATAAGTGTTCAATGGAAGGCAGCGGACACTAATTAAAATGACAGTTTGACTCTTTATCGGCTTGCTGTCTGCAGGTGAAGCTCTGAAGACATGACCTCCCCTTACAGAGTGGAAATGTAATTTCATGGCCTGTTAGACACTGAACTGGAGGAGTAAACAGAGAGGTGTTAGCGCTCACGTCTGTTGGGGGCACGCTCGGACCACCGCAGCTCTCAGCTTCGGGTCTTTCTGGTGCTTTGGAGTGAATCCTCTCTGGTCGAACAGCTTTGTGCTTCAGCTTTGTGCTTCAGCCTCTAATTACTCTTACAGTAATTACACTCAGGGATCCAGCATGTGGAAGTTGTTTGTGTTTATTGGGCGACATGGATGTGAGATCAGTGAGGGGTGAGGCTGAGAGAGGAAGTAACTTTATTGAAACTACCTTTAAAAAAGTGCGAAAAAACAACAGAAAAATATATATAATTTTTTTGAACAATATATATATATTTTTACAACAGGAGAGATTAAAAAAGAAAAAAGAAGAAATATATATTTTATTCTTTTTATAGAGGAATTAAGTTGACACCAATTTGGGCTTGGTTTATTTAAACTACTTTTAAAAAGTGTGAAGAAAAAACAACAACAAAAAAGTTTTTTTTTATTTTTAAAACAATGTTTTGTTTTGTTTTTAAATGGGAGAGATTCAAAAATAAAAAAGAAAAACTATATATTTAATGCTTTTGTTGAGGAAGTAACTTGACACCACTTTGGGGTTGGTTTATGTAAACTACTTTTTAAAGTGTGTGTATATATATATATATATATATGTGTGTGTGTATTACAACTGGAGAGATTCAAAAAGAAAAAAGAAACAAATATATATTTTACGCTTTTTATATGTTGCCCCATTGACAAGAGCATAAAAAGTAACTTTGTATCTGTTTCTGAAGAGTCTCAGTTTTACTGTTAACAGCAAACTTTACAGAGGCCTTACCTTGGTGAATTTGTGTAAATAGGTGCATGGCTGAGTTGGTCCACAGATGGGCATGTTCTAGCAGGTTGTCAGGAGACCAGAAACCCACATCAGCTCCACTTCACTTGTTGATCAGATGCTAGGGTTAAGTCAGTATCCTCACCGCACCAACGATTGTTTTGCTTTTAAACGTCTCTTTAGAAAATCTGCAGGTGATATCAATGAAAAAGAGTTGAATTAAATATCTTTTTGTTAAGTGTAAGTTTGTGTTGAACCTGGAGGTACTACTCTCAGGTGTGTCTGAGTTTTCACTGCGCAAGAACTGAGCACAAACTCTTTAATAAGAAGGAGAGCAATTTCGAACTAAGTTTTAAAAAGCTGAAAGTTTTGTGTATCTTGTACTAAAGTTAACTAAGTCTTCCACCACGATACCTTTTCCCCAGTCTGCGTTGTAAAGCTCATGTCATTCCCAAACCCGCTTCATTTATTATGTATAGATTGGAGACACAAAGCAATACACACTCGGCGGACTTAAAGACAGACGTTCACCTGAAAATGTGCTGGCCTTGTAAAAAATTCATCCAAGACATGAAAGTAGAATGTGAGCAAAGGGAAATTCAGACGTTATAATGAGTCTCTGAAGACGTGAGCGAACGGAAAAACACAGAACACATATAAAACAATTGATTCTGCCTCCATCCCACAGGTTTTTCCATCAAAATCGCCAAATTAATCATCCAGTGGGTTGAACATCCCACGTTTCTCCAATGATGGACTGTGTTACCACGCTGAGATAAAGAGATTAAATAATTCACAGAGCTGACCTTTGTTGAACCTTTTACTTATTCTCTCAGGAGAGGCCGACTCTTATTCCATCTCCTTACTCCGTCAGAGTTCAAGACAATATCTGTCTGAGCGAAAAGACGAGCCGGTCCCAATCAAAAAGGTCGGCAAATAAACTCCGAATGAGACGCCTTATCTCCCAACTCTGATGGGAACATTATACAGATATGGATTTTATTGCATTGATTCCCATTCTGTTTTAAAATAGAAAACAAGGAAGGAAGATTAAAATTGATTCAATAAAAAGATAAATAATGAATAAATAAGCCGCTGTGCCTTTTGCTACTTCAGAGCGGAAGGAGGAACACAAACTTCTCGCTGTCTGGATGTTCCCTCGTGTTGTTTTGACGAATAATGCAACGACTTGGGCGAGCACACAAAGAAGTAACTACATTAAGAATGAGACGGAGGCATAAAAGCAGGACACGAGCGTTCCTTTCTTCTGGAGTGACTGGACAAAACCCACTAATCAATACCTCCAGGACTTCACAGCCTCTTTTTTCAGTCACAGCAGCCAGAAACCTCAGATTTTCAACCAGCTTTCTTGAGAATGTACAATGACAGTTGTACATTTCTTTTCGGTAACACTTTACAATAACCATAACTTATAAATGGTAAATCGACCATTTATAAATGGTAAGCAACTATACCTATAACTATAACTTTACAGTCACCATCTAAGTAATGTTTGCAGATGGTTAAAAAACCAAATATTAACCATTTACAAAGTGCTACTGACACGCAATTTAATCTAGATGTTTTACAGCCAATATTTAAACCCTATATAAACCTTTAATAATAGTCCATTAATAATCAATGAAAATTATTCATCATAATTTCATTGCTTGTTAATGGTAAAGTAACTATAAACTTACATTAATAAACTATCTATTTGCCATTTATAAATTATGGTTATTGTAAAGTCTGACCTTTTTTTCTTCTCTATGAAACGATGAACACAACTACTATTAATGAGTGGGACACATCTTTAATTGAGAATCATCCATTAGCTAAAGAAGCTGTTTGTCCTCTTGGTTAAAGAATGCCCACTTTCAACTTTATCAGTTAGAAGATAATCAGCTGAGCTACCGTTCAAACCAGAGGAATTACTGTTAACTGAGCTTCTCTGTGTGGCCTGCCTGGACTAGTACTGCGTTCAATTGAATATTTTTTATTAGCTTTTTTGATTTCATAAAAAAGACAAAGACAAAGATGACGATACTATCAGAAAATGTTTTTTTCTTTATCTTGACATAACAAAGTTCGTTATCTTGTGATAACTGAAATGATGTTTTAGCCCTCCTCAACGGTAACTTTTGATACGCCCTCTAGACTAGGGTATTTGTAAAATGCCGCAGCCAATGCTGTCAACAGCGAGTCAAGGTTTTTAATAAAAACACTGAAGACATGCTCCATTTTGCGCATGCGCATTATACTTTCAACGAGCACAGCCATGTATTTTCCTTTTTTTTTATGCACTGTTATCTAGTGAAAATTACTTGCCATTTCGTTATCTCGATATAACAAAGTTCGTTATCTTGTGATGACCAAAATGGTGTTTTAGCCGACCTCAACGGTAACTTTTAAAAACGCCCTCCAGATTAAGATATTTCTATTTCACAGCCAGTGTTGTCAACTGTAAGTCAAGGTTTTTAATAAAAACACTGACGGCACTGCACTCCTTTATGGCATTTGCATCACACTTTTAATGATTCATGCATGGCAGTTAAATGTTCCCACATTGAAAGCCTGTGTTATCACACTTAATTTGACGTAATTTTAGCTAACTTGCTAAAACCTTTAACATCGCTATCCAATTTTATTTATTGGCTGTTTCCTTCATATCAATGCAGGCTTATTGATCACAAACAAACAAACAAACAAAGAAAAGCTGTAAATTAAAAGAGAAATGCTTGTCCAAAAACACCTAAAATTGTCATTATGGACCAAAGCCTTAGTTTAGACGTGAATTTAGCATGTACAAACTGACAGAAAGCCACAGTCCAGCTATTGATTAGACTTCAAAATGACGATAGATCAGCCGACTTTACGGCACATAAAGACCCATTATTAAGGGACTTCTCTGTCAGTGGCACCACCTAATGCAGCGCTGTTCCAGCCCACAAATGTTTAAAGGTTTCTTTTATGACCCAAAGATCAATGTTGACCCCGACCTTCACTGCAAAAGGGGAGGAATCGAGAACCACCAGGCCGGGTCACTCATCTGCTACCAATGATCTCCAAATCCAATATAAAGGTGAACAGATAACATGTTTTATAGTGCAATGTCAATATTGTTGAGATTTTTGTCCAGTTCATGGCCGCCTCCTGGTATCCCAACCTTCCTTCTCTGAATGTCAGAGCAGAATTGAAAAACATCTTCCATTTTTTGTTCATTTTAACTCCAGAAAAAATATATTTTAAATGATTAATGTTTTCAGGGAGATATCCACCACAATTTTGCTGCCAAATATACTGAATATCTGCTGAAAATCTGTGGGAATCCTATATTAGACCATCCAGGTTCAGGCTCAAGTCAACAGCTGTAAAACATCTATATAGCTTTGACACTCACTTTGACTTCATCCCAGTGCAGACTGTGTAAAACTCACTATTTCACCCTGTTTGTGGGAAAATCAAACCCAAAATAATTCACTTCTGACATTTCTATGGCCCAGAATAGCTTATTTGTGTTTCATTACTAAGAGAGTCTCTAAAGCAGGAAAAAAAAGAGGCTGCTTTGAACTGCTCCGATTACAAGAAAGAGTCTCTGTACTGGAGATAAGAGCGTGTTCTGAGCTGCTGGTTTATTTGTTCTGCAAATGAAGCTAATTTGGGGAAAAAGGTTAAACAAGTTCCACAAATTCATCATTTCAGCAAGGACTGAAAATCATGGTTTTTGATTCACCGCATTAATAACGTTTCAGTGGGCTAACACTGAGTGAAATGGTTTAAGAGGAACTGGTCTACAGATTAGGAAATATGCATCTCATTGGGGGAAGATTTATGATAAGTTTAAGTCAAATATTCAACATGAAAACATGGAAAAAATGTCATTTTTGAATAACTATAATATGGTGAAACAGCTTTAAGGTAATCGTCTATTTCAGTCGGACACATGCAAACTAGATCAGGCTAAATTCTGGCTCTCAAAAGTAAAATCAGTGTGGTTCAATTCCCAAAACTTTAAAAAGTTTATAAAGCAATCTTCATGTCAAAAGGTCAAGCTAATGTAAAAGTGCGAAATACTGCAGTTCCTCAAGCGTCCACTAGGGGTTGGTTCCAAAAGCTAAAGAACCCCTATTAAGTCAATGTAAAAGCGCCTTTCTTTACAGCAAATTTTACATATTTATTTACAGCCTTCATGAAAAATTGAGTATGGAGCTCATTTCTTAATTTGTACACAGAGGATGGGACAGATACTTATTTATATCTTAAGACTGTCTGAGTCCACATTTTCAATTTTGCGCCCATGATCAATAAGCTTTAAAACTTCTCTCCAAAGACCAGTGGGTGATGTTGGAGACTGTTGGTTTTATTACAGTTCAAGGGCTCTATTTGTCTTTTCGCTTGACAAGCATTTCCCCAAATCTGTTTAGGTTTGCTCATATTTTATGGATTTGGTATATTTACAGACTATCAAAAACAGCATTGGCAGAGGTTCGCACAGTGATTGAGTGGGGAGAGTTGGAGGGTCCCTTGGTGCCAAACACGGATAGAAGGTCGTTAAAGATCTAGTTTAAAAAAACATCACAAAGAGGCCTTAGTGGAGGCTCTGCAACCTGAATAAGAGGGTAGATGGATGCAGAGGTGGAAAAACACTGGCACACATATGGCGAGTGGTTCGTTTGGGGCACCATCTTGTTTGAAATACTAAGTCAGTGTGTAAGCTGGTTTCATAAAGGACGCAGAGAGTGGATATAAGCTCTCTTTATATTACAGGTTTAAAGATTTGGAGCCTGCTGAAATCTGAGACAATATATCATGACATTTCTTTCCCCCGTTCTCCTGTGAGCCATCTTCTCACTACTCCCCTTCCTGGCTCATGGGTCCTCTTTCCTTTCTCTCTTCCTACCTCAGCCCTCACATCCCTCCTCTGGACACGCAGCATCAATGACCCCGTGTGGGAAGAGGTGGGGGAGATCAGGGAGCACAAAAGGCCTGGCTGCTATTAATTTTGCCCAGGGAACCTTCACAATAATCCAACAAGACAGCCGTTTAATTGCACTAACCCTGAGCCCGCGGCGAGCGTGCCTTTCCCAGCATCCTCCTCTCTCTCTGAAAACCAACAAGACATCTGACTTCGCCTTCATTAGAGCCGCAGGAGAAAAGTGTTGGAGGTTGAGTGCGAGTTGGAACGTTGTGCACTTTTCTTTTAGTGTTGTTTTTTGAACCCTCTATAGAAAACTTAAACGACTTGTCAGTAAAGGTTATCGATGTTATTGTGAACCGGGCTTATTTTTAGAACCAAACTCTGAGTATTTTTCACTTTCAGCTGCGAGTTACACTTTGCTGCAGGGAGACATTTTGGAACAAAGGCCGAGAATGTGTTGCTGTTTTGCCCCAAAGGCTGAATGTGTTAAAAATCTGTAGAGGTCGAAGAAAAAGCACAATGGCCGCGTGGTCGAAATATCATCCTTTAACCTTTCGAAGAGAAAATTAAGAGAAGCCAGAAAATTAAAAAGTGTGAGACAAAGACGGAGGCTATAATTGATTTGGTCACAATATTAACATATTGTAACTCTGACCAGGCTGAAAGTGTGAAAACGACTTTAGCTTCCCTATACAATAGAAGCCTGGGCGATGAATGGAAAATGTAGCTATACCGAAATTTACGACGATAACCAATGTCATTTTGCCCAATGATGCCATAAAGTTATTTCAGTATAATGGAGGATTTTCCTGTCCTGTTACAGAGGTTTACAGTAGGAGTGTCCCAATACAACTTTTTGACTTCTGCTACAATACCGATATTGTAGCCTTCAGTATCGGCCAATACCGATATTGGTCCGATATCAACTTGTGCAGGGCAAGTTTTGCACTCAGCTGTAATGTCTTTCTCAGACTAACCAAAAATACTGTCATCATACTGTCAATACTGTCATCTTTGTTAGTACCTTAGTACACACTGTTGTTGTGTTTTGCTTGCTAGATTTGCATGCTGCTAGCTAGAGGTGCTGGAGCGGAGTCTGGAATGGACTGCTTGCATTGGAGTGCTGATATCGGAGATTTTAGATACATGCCGATAGAATCTGATATTTGTGTTTTTGCTGATATCTGATATCAATATCAGATCGGGAAATCCTTAGTTTACAGTGTACTGTTCGACCATTAGGTTTGCTTTCCTGCTCACTAATCTGCCGTGTTTTGTACCTGATGGTGAAGTCCGTCACTATAGTTACCCTGTGGCGTCTTTTTTACACAGCTTTTCAAAAGTCTGTGGGTTTGCCATCCGAGTCCAGTCCGTGGGCTAAGTAGTCCCTCAAAAGAATCCAGCAGATGGCTCTGTTCACCAGCACAGGTTGTGAAGATGACTCACTGAGGTTGGTGGTGGACATGTTGAGGCAGAGGCATTGCTTTTCCCTCTCTTAAAGGAGGCTGAGGCTAACATATAAATGTAAATGATTGACTGGTGCAACTGCAGGTAATGATATTATATCACTCATATTTTATACATCAGAGCCAAACTGAATTCTTTTTTTCATCATAAAGTAGAACTTTGGGAAATTCAACTTTTGTACCACAAGTATTGAAACAGTATCGTAATTCCAGTCTACCATGCAACCCCAGCATTTGAGGGACGATGGTGAGGTCTCCTAGGGAGACTCGAAGGAAGCAGGGGATTGGCGGTGTATATATGTGAGCATATGTACATAAAAATGATATAGAATACATTTTTTGATGCGTCAGAGTCTGATGGAACCGTAAGCGAGGCTGGAGTAAATCTACTCTCTATAAATCATCATAAGCCATCACAAAACACACACGAGATTTGGGTTATGGAGTCAGAAGTTGTGATTTAAGAGCAAAAAAAAAGGAGGTAGAGCCCTTGAAGTGTAACTCCCCTCCACTTTTCCTATAAATAAACCCACATCATGCGGCTCGGGCCATTTATGAACTCGTGGAGAATCCTTCTGCAGGTTAGATGGCTCGACAAGTGCTCCTCCATCCTGTCACTCTTTACCCACATCCTCTCTATCTGCTATTTTCCTGCCCCCTCCCTTTAGAGCCTTTCCTTCCCCTGCAGGTAATTACAGAGCAGCGGCACCACGGTCAGTAAGAGGCGAGGCCGACCACTCCGGGGGAAGAGCACATGATCCATTAGCTGAGCAGCGAGCTCAACGGCACATTCCTCATCGCCATTTGTCTACTCCTTAAAACCTCCCTCTGCTTCCTCATTCCCACCGCACCTCCTTCGTCTTCTTTCTCCTCCGTTCCCTCACCGGAGAAACCAAATTGAACACAAGGAGAGGAATCTTTTTTAAAATATACTTCAGCCAGAGGGCTTTTTTTTTTTTTTACATACCTGAATAAAAACTGCAGCCTGATAGCGAGGCAGCCAGCCAGTAAGACGATCCGCACCCCTAACTGAATCATTCACCGTGGGAGAATTTTGGCAAAACAGAGCTCAGCTGCCTTGAAAATTCAATAAAAGGCAAATGTAATATATTTTTCATATGCTGATACTGCTCCAGTCCCAATAATATAACTGGCCTTCTGAGAGGTGCGGCTTAATGGCTCTACAAAGTTTTCAATTTCGTGTCCTCTTTCATTTAGTTTGCAGTGTCACGCAGACAAAACCGACGACAAACACAGAATCAACAACCTTCTCCGAGGATAAAAACCCACAATTACACATTCTCGCACTGCTTAGAGACATAGAGATCTTTTCACCGAGACTTCAGGGAAGGAGTCACAATTACTACTGAAGCTATGAATCATTCCAATGGCAATTTTAAAACAATTACACTCAATTTTCACAACTGTCTGCGCCGCTGCCACTCAACTCCTTGTTACAGGGCGGCTCACGCTGCCTTTTGTGCTCACACGAGTCTCACAGGTGTAATTCTTGTAGGCTCATTTTACCACAGGCGAAAGAGGAGGGGGGTGAAAAAAAAAGCTAATTCGTGTAATGACCTTCTCCACGACTAATAGGTAAATCCATTAGCAGAGCAAAGACTGGGATTGAAACAAAGGCGAGCGCGGCTGCGGCTGTGGCTTTCTGTCACGTAGAGGAGTGAACGCCTCTTGTCTGGTTTAATCAGGTGCACGTTCTGCGTTGATCGATAAGTCGTCCTGGAGGAAAACGACCACAGGACCACATGTTACATCCCTCCTAAACTGCTGGCCCTGATTAGCCGCCGTGTCATCACACTGCGATCTCATTCCAGCTCTATTTAGAGGCTGATATACAGTACCCATCCTTTTACACTGCCATTGTACGGACTGAGGTGTGTGCAGCTGTTGATCCGGGCTGAAATGAGACTGATATGACAATTACATTTGTCACGGTCAACACAAAGAGGGTCTGAGTTGTGTTGTGTTTACAAAGCATGGAAAAGGAGTGTTAATAACAGTAATTCTGGAATTTCTTGTTGTGCCGAAGATTTCTACAAGTTCACAGTTATGGGAAATGTCTGTAATTATCTCAGAGTGAGGAAGCGTTTCATTTCACTGCATGTATTTCATACCCAAGAAGCATCATTTGAGGTTGACTGAAAAAGCTAGGAAGACCTTATTGACACCAGTGTTGAAATTTCACTTTTTACAAGACAAATTAAAGCTCCTGTCAGGAACTTTTGATTTGAAACTACTTTGGCGCCCCCCGGTGGACAAAGCAGGCTTTCCTTCTCTTGTTATCTACATACTAGAGTAGTTTTTTTGACCATCAAATATATCACTTTTGGTTGATATTTATGTAGAAGACTTTTCTCCAGCTGCTACCTATCTCCCTCATGCTGATTTCAGACATTAAAAATTACGGTAAACATTTAGAATTTGGTGCTAGCGGACATGAATCTAGTGCTTCCAAGCTAACGAATAAAAGCAATCTAGCGATCATAGCATCCAGTATTCTTTCATAGGTTAAAAAAACTGAGCTGCTGTTAAAGTTAGCGCACTTTGTCTCCTAGCTAGACAAAAATAGTAATGGTAGTTTGATATGGAAATAATGTGTTTCCATTCCATATCAAGTTTGACATCAGTCTGTGAAGCATCTATTGAATCGAAACATCCATTTTTTCGATAACTACCTGTGATATACTACGAAAGAAGATCAGGGCCACATTACGGGAAAATTAAAATTACAGAAAAGATATTAACGGCGAAGTTTCGAGATTTAAGTCAAATAAATTAAATAATCGAAATTATTCCAATTAAGTCAAAAATTCGACGTTAAAAATTAAAATACCGAGCTTAAAATCGAAATTTCGAGATTACAAAATGTTGAAATGTCGTGAATAATTTTGAAACTTTGAGATTAAAAAAAAAGAGAGATTAAAGTCAAAATTTTAACATAAATAAAGTCAAATTTCGACTTTATTCTGGAAATGGAAATTAAAAAATCTCCTTCCTGTAATTATTTTTTTCTTTCCTCGTCTTGTGGCCCTAAACCTCTTTCGTAGATATACAGTATTGGAATTGAATTGTAAACTTTAAAAATTTACTATTATACAAAATATAAAGAAAATGAAATATATACATACTAATTTAAATATAGAAAAGTGTTTCAATCTGCAAGCTACGAAGTGAAATCTATGTAAAATGTGTGAAAACCGTGTACACAGTTAAAATGACAGTTTTCTACACTCCCAGGGGTGCACCCATAGAATTCGCCAGGGGTGGTCTGGGCCCGCTTGATTGGCCACCCCACAATTATACATTGTCTTTTGTTTATGTCCCCACACCTGTAGCTTGTGTGCCCCCTCTCACACCAACTCCGATCAGAAAAGTCTAGACACAGCACTTTACATACCCCACTGTTCTCAGAGGGGTACTCAGCCCCCGATCCCGACTGGTTTTGAAACACTAAAATGAGGCCGTTACATGATGACTTCTTTTACTCCAGACTGCTCGCTTTAAAACCAACAAAGTGACGCCACTTGAGCACGAAACCTCTTCAGTGTAAACAGAATAAAGGCAAACACGAGTATGCACTGAGCTGATATCATCATTCATATGGCGGATAAAGACCATATATCTAAAGTAGTCGTGGAAATTAGAGCTTGTGCTGACGCGGCCTTTTAGTTCAAAGAGTGTTTCTTTGATAGGACTCTGCAGATTGACTCCACACCAGGCAGAACACTAAAAAGGACCAATAATTGTTTTTCATGTAGTGAGCGATGACCTCATTGCATTTATTCATACAGTATATGCATTTATGCATGTATATGAATATATGTATATGTATGAATATCCCACATATGTGACCAGGAGAAATTATTGCTGGAGAGCTTTCATCTTCCCCCCTGGCCGCTCGCTTTCCTCGTTTCTTGTTTCTCTTTCTAACCTGCACAGAAGAAATCAATTCTGCTGACCCTAATCTAAAAGCATGACACCAGGATTAATAACTTTCCTGATATGGAATATGCACAACTTTCTGTCAAACAGATGAATTGGCTGCAGCCCAATTGAAATAACATATGAGGAGCCATTTAATCATCGGGTCAAGAGGAAAAAAATACCCTTGCTCCTTTCAACTCGAGTACAGAACGGACCGGCCTGTTCGGGAGAGTGTGTGCTCTCACAAAAATGAGGATGGAAGAAAATGAAATGGATGAAAGTTTCGTACAGTGTGTAACAACAACAACTTATTTCCTCTCTGAGTTATCGCTCCTGTTCCTGATAAGAAGTTCTTGAATGTATACCTCACAAGCTATATGAACTTAAGCTTTGAAACTCCTAGAAATAACATTTAGCCATATGGGGGCAGTAGAGAGACACAATGACATATAGAAGTTGTAACACTAATTGTAAAACAATTGGGATGAAACAGAATTTGATGGTTTGCAAATAGAAATAGATTGAAGATAATGAAACTGAAAAGTCAGGTTTAAAGTTTGATGGCAGCATCACATTTTAAAAAGTCTAAACAAGGTCAACAAAATCCTACAAAACACCTCTTATCCAGTTTAGTTAATTTTCAACAGATTAATAACATGACGGGGTATAAAAAGGCAACAAAGAGGGTGAAGATTTTAAGAGGTTCAATGATCTGTGAGAGACTGCGTGAGCTTACAATCCAACAATGTCAGGATAACATTCTCAGAGTTAAAGAAACATAGAAAAAGAAAAGTAGTACTGGGTTACTGTGGGTTTTTTTAGGCCCATAGGAAGTACTGCATTGACTAAAAGACATGGCTCTGAAGTGGAACTCACCACATGGGCTCAAAATCACTTCTAAAACCCAATCTGTTAGCTGTTGCATAATTTAGCAGACATCCACATCCAAATTTAAGGCAGGAGTTTACAAAATTATCATTATTTTTTTTTATTTAATCTTTATTAAATCAGAAAAAGAAAAGTCATCTTTTTCTTTTCTGAACAAACAGCATGACTTTTGTTTTGCTTTTGTTATAAATAATAAAAAAAAGAAGTTAAACAGTGTTGAAAGCAGTTTGTGACTGGAAGACAGTTTGTGTCGGTGTGGCAGTGCATCATCGTGTCGGCAGCATAAAAGGACAATTTGCATTTGTGACATTTTGATTTATATTGTTTCATTATTGAATGAAAAGTAGAGATGCAACAATCTGATATTTGGATCGGAAATCGGCTCCGATATTGGCAAATTAACTGGATAGAATATCGGAGGAATGATGCCGATCCAGTCTTTTTTTTCTTTTAATTCTTTTTTCTTTTAATACACAGAAGTCTGACTGTGCAGTTTGTTGTTTTTAATAAATAATATTAAGTTAATATCCGTTATTTTGTTACCTTTTGTTTACTCACAAGGCAAGGTATACAGTTCATTTATTCCACAGTAGAATTGGATCGGTATCAGATATCAGCTGATACTCCCAGCCCAGGTATCGGTATCGCATTTGATCGGAAAAAATTGATTGATACATCTCTATTGAAAAGAAAGAGGTCTAAGGACAGAACCCTGAGGCACTCCTTAAATAGCTTGCACACACGTAGATCTGTTTGTAAGGTAGTTTTCAGATCAGTTTGCCGTTTGTTTGGACAGTCTTGCTCTTTCACAGTCTTTGTTTTAAAGGTTTGTGGTCCACTGTATCACATATCTTTGGAAGACAGATGAAGTGATCTTCACAGAGCTGCTTATAATCGATAAAACGTACTGTTTCACTTTCAGGACTCCAGAAACTAATCTCCTTGAAACCCAGACTCAAAGCTACACAGCTAAGAAACCAGACTCAAAGCTACACAGGAGGCACCAGAATCAACTCGAAATTCAACAGTCACATTGCTGCATTAGCTTATCATCGTAGAAGTTTTGGTTTGTGAGTCTAACTTTAAATCAGGGGAAATATGCAGGCCGTTTTCTACCTCTTCTGACACTTCAAACAAAATTCCGAGTACACTCGTAGACTCTGTAGAGCAGCTGGAGACTGCAGAGCGGTGTGATTAGTACCTGCGAGTACGCCTTCGTTCTAGCTGTTGTTGATATGAAGAAAACATATTGATTATCTTGGGTTTGACTTGCTCAGTGTTCAATAAATTTTGCCCAATTTTAAGTTATAGTTGGTGTTTGAAAGGCTCAGAAATACTGAGTGAAAGACAATCACTCTCCTGCTGCTCTCCAGTCAGCATTTCAGCACCGCGTCTGCTGGACAGCTCCTTTTAACCCTCGGCCCGTAGTGTGGATCTCAGCCTCTCAGGTCTGGAGAAAGTTGAGAACTGCGCTCCTTCAAATACACAGAAATCCTCACATAAAGCTGTCCTCGGGGCTGTGATGGAGATAAGGAAAAGTTGGTTTATCCAAAGACTAAAGTTAGCTTTACAGCCAGCAAAGCATTTCCATTTAAACTTTACAGAAACTGAAAGTCAGGCGTCTGCAGCGTTAAACATATTTTTTTACTTTTCACTCCTAAATGCTTTAACTTTTCGGTAAATTGAATAAAATTGCCTGAAAAATGGGAAAACATGCCATTTTGGTTAAATCATGAATGTTCCACAGCCGGATTGACGTCAAGTCTTTATCGGTGGATTATTCTGAAATGTCAAAGATGAAACTCTGCTGCGTTCGATGTCTCTATGAAACCAAAAGCAAGCAAAAAGTGAATAACCCTAAACTGAAGGATATAAATGAATTCACTGTATGTACAAATGTATAAGTCCTGCATCAACAAATAATTGCGTTTTTCCTGCACATCCGTGACACTGACATGATCTTTTGTCACTGAAGCGCTCAGAAACCGTGAAGCAATTAGTTCCATCATGAATCTCGTCAACAATCTTACCATGAAATGTCAGTATGTGGCCTTGCTGTTGTATGGATTTGTCACAGCTGATCGGCCTCGGTAGAATTAAAACATTTCCTGAATTCAAGACAACGGCATCAACACAGATTTATGTACACTCCGTGTCAGTGGAAAGGTTTTGTTTAGGTTTGCATCCTTGACCAGATGTTAGGTGTTTAGATTTACCATCAGAATGAAAAGCAAATGTCCTATGCAGTTGTGATTTCTTCGATGGAACATATATTCTAACATTATTTAAATTGTAATTTTTTAAATGCCACAAGATATAAAAGAAGCAACAAAAGCAGTCTATAGACTCGTTTTTTCACTTAGTAAGTCGGGATGGGAATTGGTAAGATTTTATCGATGTTAATGTCGATTCTGCTTATTGATTCAATTATTTAACTTTTCCCTTCCGGACATTTGAAGGATTTTGTAAACTCCCCTAAAGAGGACATGTCCGGGTAAAAGAGGACATATGGTCACCCTAACAAACGTACCTTCGATGTCGTGCCGACACTGAACTGCAGTGGCTGACGACCAGCGGAGAGCACCAAATACGTGACTCCTTATATCTGACGCCGTGCTCCGTTGACAAATGTTTAAGCATGTTGCTGGTGTTTCCACCTTTGCGTGGTATCACTGCTCGACAAACGTTGCACTGTTGTCATCCTTCTTTGTAAAGTTAAGCCACGCTTTAGTTTGTTTCTGCCTACTTTTCAACCATCCGCCATGGTTTTGTTCTCTGTCTCTGTTCCCGTTCCTGTTTGCGTAGACTGGCACTCGTGAGACTGTTTTTCAAGGGACCCGGAGGAAACGAATCGTTAAGGGAATCGTTAAGATAAAATGTTAATGATGTTGATGGAATGGACCAATTGGAACCGGTTCTCGATTCCCATCCCTATTAGAAATAAAGAATCTGCCTCGTGTTGTGTAGGCCAAGACTTGACCAGACATGGACTCTACTAGACCCCAGGCTTGGAGGGTTCTGACTTCAGGATGCCAGAGCAATCTGTTGAACTTCCCCGAGGTGTCGTGGGCCTAACTCAATGAAGCACCGATGAAGGGAAGTGCCCACTTTAGAGCCGGGCCATTAAACAGGGTTCAATTTCAATTAGGATTATGGCTCCCCACAATTATAAATATATGATGATAGAGACTGAACACTGTTGCCTGCTGCGTCTCGCTCCTTTTACTTTTACTTTCTCATCATGAGTTCAGATCGCAGTGGAACAAAGCTCAGGGATGCCTTGACCCTTGAGCATTGAGTTACGGACTGCTGTGTTGTGCTGCAGCGGTTCAAACTATCATGCAGCCACAAGAGATGAGATGTTTTTTCTCAAATTTGACTCTATTCATCAGATTTTCACGTGTTTACGTCCAAACTGCATTTCCTTCCAGTTCTTTTTCGTTTCAACCACAAAAACTCCGACCTTCTGCTCAATTACCGCGCACACAGGCCAGCTCCCCCTGACTTTTTCTTTTCCCCGCTCCCCCTTTTCCTTCTGCTGTGTTGACCTTTATGTTGGCAGCTTGTTGTATAAAACCACCCAAAAAAACACAACCTGGGTTTTGAAGTTTTTCACAGACCCCTGTGTTTTTTCACTACAGCAGGTGAGGAACAGGAGTGGTGGGCTTTTTTTGTAAATGATGTGGTGTTGCAGTAAAAAGTAGCCCTGCATATGATGCATTTAGAAGAGGTGTGCGCCAAAGGATATCAAAGGGGGTTTGAAAACCAGTGCAGTGTCGCCCTACCACTGAATTATGTGGTAGACTCAGCCCTGTCTAAACCTTTTGAACTTCTTCTCCTGACAGTATCTCATTAAAGGAGCAGTGACATGTAACTCATACAACCTCTCTTCAAAAATGCTGAAATATCCCTTTAAATTGTAGGCTTGAAATTCCAGTCGTGTGTTATAACCAAGCTGTAGTGCAGCCACTGGCCACTAGCTGGGGCTGTAGCTCAGACGTAAACAAACATAGATAGGATCTGTTAGTATGGCACAGTTAGGAGGAGTGTTGGGCTGTATGAAAAAAAACTTAGATCACAGTATGAGTAATTTCATATCATGGTAAGAGTATGTATGACAGTATTTTTTACCCCTGTAAATTCAATTAATGGCTTAAAAATAACCAGACTGTCGCATTTGTTCATTTTCCTTTTAAACTCGGATTAGTGTACACATGCAAACAAAACACCAGACCAATCTGGCAATTTTTTAATTGTAACTTCAGTGAAAGACTCTGCCGAGCTCTTTTGTATAAGAGGAGCTGCTGCAACTTTCGTTTTTGGTGCAGCAGGTGCGCCACGCATCTTTTGGCCCCCGTAATAGAGCTCGGTGTGTTTCATTTTTAGGTGGTGGAAGAGGTTGCTGGTGTTTCCCTCTGGCAACGACAGCCACAGGACACTCTGTGTATAGCGTTGTTTTTTGATCATTGTCGGATTTTCTAATTCCGAATAATCTACTGACAACCGATGTCGTTCCTCCTCCTCATCCTCCTGTTGGGTGGGTCGGGCTGCCTCCGTTTGCTAATCTCTGCGTTTCTTTTTCATTGAGACTATGCCAAGCAGTCTGCTGGACACGCTGGTGATTATAGGGAGCGCACCCAAACCTGACCAATCAAACGGAGCGAACAAACTCAAACCGCCCAACACTAGTTTGGAGGTATTTTGATCAAGACGGTAAGCTTGGTTAGCTTGCGCAACAGGCACTTGCATATGGATGCTAACCTACAGGAAGTGTGAGCTCTGCTAACGTTGGCCAAACACAGAAAACCGATTCAACGCCATGTATGTACAGACTGTGATCTGGCATGGGCTGTGGTCAATAGATCGTGACTTTTTATCTGTTTTTTTTCTCTAAAGGAGGAGGAGTTAGTTGCTCAAGAACACCTTTAGTTTTAACCAATAGGAATCAAGTATTTAACACGGCCAGGTACCAATGCTGTGTTCCAGTTGTACTCGGAAGTCGGGATTTCTGAGCTCCGAGTTGGAAACTTTCTGGAACGGCAGCCCTGAAGTCAGATTTCCGACTCGGAAAGTCCTCGCCAACCCCGACTTGACGACAACATCATAATTCAAGATGGCAGCGCAGTGAATCAACAGTAAAAAGTAACCGTCAAAGCTCTCGTAATGTATTTTTTATTAGCACTTTTGTTTTTGTGAAATGAAATAAGTGGTATATGTTGTACTGCCCAACGTCTAACTGTGAACACGGCGTGATGGTGTAGAGAGTAAAATACTGTGTTGTGCGTAACTGGTATCGCTAACAACCGCTAACAACAGCTGACAACCGCTAACAACAGCTGACAACCGCCAACAACGACTGACAATGGCTAACGACGGCTGACAGATATTAACAACGGCTAACAGTAGGCGTCCATCTTAGTTTTCTGACTTGTTAACTGGAACGCCGTCAACTCGGGTGTAGCGTCACTCCCAGCTCCGACTTCAGAGGTAACTAGAACGCAGCATAACAGAATATGTCAACCTTTTTGCCAAATATGGTCACATCTGGTTGCAGAAAACTAACATGTCAACAAGCAGAATACTAACAAGATTCAGTTTTGGGCTTGTTTCCATCGTTTTCTCCGTTCAGTCCTCACATATTTCAGCATATCTGAATGTTTCTCATCGAATCTTAAAGCTTACACATCATTTTCTGATAGTTTAACCACTTTTCCTTTTCTACATTTGCTGAATTATCCTCAGACAGGTATAGACTCTTATTTCTCTCTGACGTTTAGGATAATTGGGAGCAAGAGTTTCCCCCCTCGCCACTGTTCAAGGAAATGTCAGTCAGCATTAGCATACTCATTTACAGAGCGCTACAGCTGTCCCCGGCTGCTACCTCACCCACCCCAGCCTTCCCGCGCACCCAGCCAGCCCCTTTCAAGGAGGGTTATCTCAACGGTTATGAAAAATGACTTCTTAAAAAAAAAAAAAAAAGAGCGTAATGTGACACATTATCTCAATATTAAGGGAGTTTGAGCGAATAATAAGTTTGGCTTATTAATCAAGGTATGAAAGGGTAAGAGGCTGCCAAGGGAAGTTAAATGCCACTGTCAATCTCGGCGTGATTCACTCTTGACTTCAAAGGACGATTCACCTGAGTCGTGTCAGAGTATCCGAGGCACTCTAAGCCTTCTGGGGGACACGCCGAGATGTATTCATAAAATTCGAGATGAATTTGCAGAACATAATGAGCCTATTTTTTCTAGAGGTTGCATGCCGAAGACTACACCCATCTTACCTGTGAATGTGGCCATATATGTGCATACTAATTCCCCTCCATGTGCTCCCAAGCATGCATACATCTCTTCAGGCGTATTCTAATTTTACCCGCTCGCTCATTAGG